GGCGGGTCCGGGCTGGGGATTCGAACCCGCCACCTTAGGTGTACGTGGCTGGCGCCTTAGCCGGTTGAGCTATAGGCGCTGAGCCTATCCTAGAACTCTTGAGGAAGCCAAAAAGTGGCAGTCAGATCAAGCAGCTTAAAGTGGTAGGAATCAACATATCATTTTTTAAAATGGAAAGTCCAGTTCCATTGGCCCAAATTTATTGACTCCACTTAGTGTGAACATAACCTGCATGTATTTATTTATTTATTTTTAGAGACAGAGTCTCACTTTATCACCCTTGGTAGAGTGTTGTGGCATCACACAGCTTACAGCAACCTCCAAACCCTGGGCTTAGGCAATTCTCTTGCCTCAGCCTCTGGGACTACAGGTGCCCCCCACAACACCTGGCTATTTTTTTGTTGCAGTTTGGCCAGGGCTGGGTTTGACTCCGCCACCCTCAGTATATGGGGCCGGCACCCTACCCACTGTGCCACAGGCACTGCCCATACAACCTGCATTTAGATGTGAGGTGAAGACTGCCCTTCACAGAAGTAAACAAAGCAACTGCACCTTTCAGCAGGATCAGACTCCCTCTAAGGCAGGGGTCTGCCCCAGGGACCTAAACAGGGTTTTTCCGGACATCAATCATCCCCGGACTGGTTCTTCGTAGCTCCCTCCAGGGCTTAAGCTGAGGCCCAAAGTTCCAGGGCAGGCCCACCACCTCCTGTTGCCTCTGGTCCTCAAGGGAGCTCTGCTCTTCACCACTCAGGCTTGACCGTTTCCAAGTCAAGGGTAATGGAGCATGGACCAAGTCCCGCATCTCCTCCCGGGTGCGGGGAACCCCGTCAGCAATGGGGGACAACCAGAGCAGCCCCGATGCCGGGTGGAGCTGCTCTTCACTTCTAGGGACTTGTCTGCTCTCCAGGCATAGGGTCTTCTTCTCCCCACCTGTCACAGAGAATAACATGTCCTTGTCAGAAACAGAAGTAGCAACACCTTCCCAAAGTCCTACCTTTCCTATGCCCAGCACAACCTGTAAAATGAGCCCATATGCACTCAAGTAAGAGTGGCTTCTCAGCTTCCCTCAAAACAGCAATAAGCCTGACTCCAGAGCAAGGCAGGGAAAGGAAGCCACTGTCCAGCTGGGTGACACCAGGTTAACAATTACCCCTGCTCTGGCCTACTGCAATGACACTACTGAGCTTCTGTTGTAGTTCCTGGTTTATCCACATCTGGCGGCTCAGCTCCTTCTCCAGAGCTTGGATTCGGGCCTCATATTGTCTCTTGCTGTCTGCCAGCCCTTCACCAAGGTGGTCTAGAGCAGAAAGGCCCAGAAGAGAATGGTGAGTGGTAAGGGGCTACAGGTAGAGTGGGCAGCGGGGCCTGCAAGCTGGGGGGCCAGGGCTGCTTACCTCGACTTTGCTGGAGGAGCAGCTGAACATTCTGTTCATGCTCCTTCTGCTGCAGAGTCAGCTGGCGGTCCAGCTCCAGCCGCTGCCGCTCCAGGGCCACCTCCAGCCAGTACACTAGCCTCTGCTGCTCCTCCAGCTGCATCTCCAGCTCCGAGAAGGCGACTTGCTGCTGGTGCTGCTCCTCTCGGAGTGTCACCACCTGTCCCAAGATTCAGTCAGCCTCAACCCCTTCCAGGAAATTCCCAACCAGTGACAGCAGGTGTTGTTGACAAACTTGCCACTGTAGTGCCAAGAAATCACTAAGAAATCACTAGTGTCTTTCCTGCTGAGCCAAAACAGCCCCAGATGACTTCTTGGCAGTGTTCTAGTGATCATTTCCAAATGGTCAGAGCTGGCTCTCAGGATGGCACTCATTTGCCAATTTGCCATCTCTATGGAAAACCCTCTCTTAGCCCCACACAACTGAGCTGCTGGGCAGAGCCTCAAGCTGTGGGATTTATAACAGCACTGTGGACATTTCAGGCAGATAATTCTTGGTCATGGCGGCCTGTCCTATCTGCTATAGGATGTTTAGTAGCATCCCTGGCCCCTACTCCCATCACTGTGAAAACCAAAAGTATCTCCAGACATAGCCAAATATCCCCCTAGGGGGGCAAACAATGCCCTGTGGAGAACCACTAATCTGGCCAAGGGCCAACCAGAACTTAGCCAATCAGGCCAGAAGAGGAGGCAGAAGAGACTGGGTCTTAGTTTCACTGAGTAAAATAGGCTTAAAGAGGATAGTCCAGAAATCCTAGAGACAAGTTGGTCCTGATTCTGTTCCCCTATCCTGGAGAAAATGTAATCTTTGCTAGAAGCCACCATCCAACATCCCCATGCGAGTGGCAGGAGGAGGTGGCAAGAGGTTCATGGGCGGTGACCCACCTTGTCAAAATACTTGCAGAGCAGGGCTCTGGTCTCTGAGGATGAGAGGTAGCTGAGCTTGGCCATGAGGTTCATCTCACACTGGGACAGCAATGAGGCTGAGGCCCGAAGCACCCGCTGGCGGCATGTGATGGCTTCATTCTTGTACTCGATGGCAGCGTCCAGTGCCTCAATTGCCTCATCCAACTGGAACAGTGTCCGTTCTTCCTGCAGAGATAGAGGCCCATGTGAAGGGGAAATATGGGCCTCCTATGCCTCAGCACCCACTCTGAACATGAAAGTCCTGGGCAGACATGTGACAGTCAACACTTGGCCCTAAGTGTCCCCTCATTCTGACAGTACATCAAGGCTGCTCACTGTCATAGACTTGACCTGGGGTGAGGAAGAGGCTGCTTGCTCAAGTGCACACCTCCTTGAGTGACCTACTCTTGGGAAGCTCAGAATACCCAACATGGGACTGCCACAGATACCATAAGGCCAGCTGGGTAAGTTCATACAGTCATGCATCACTTAATGATGGGGATGCCCTCTGAGAATGCATTAGGCAATTTCGTCATTTTGTATAAATCAGAGTGTACTTGCCCAGACCCTAGGCGATAACCTGGGCTATATGGTATACGGTAGGCAACAGTAACAATGGTAGGTATTTGTGTACCTAAACATAGAAAAGGTACAATGAAAATATGATAACACTCTACAGGACCACCATCGTGCAAGTGGTCCCTCATTTACTAAAACATTGTTATGTGGTGCATGACTGTATTCATGTGGGTTTCTCTGTTCAGGGAACAGTGCATGTGGCCAGTAGGTGGCTAAACATCCTCAGGCCCCCACGGGAAACTGCAAAAGCACGCATGCATATTCTAATACGACACATGACATGACAAGGCACGCAGGCTCAGGCAGGCAGGGAACTGAGAGGTCACATGGCCAGCCTAAGTCCCAGACGAGAATTAAAGCAGGGCACAGAAGAGCCAGGCCAGCCCTCCTCAGCCTCCCCTCTCCTCACAGAGTAACTTATTCTACAAGCAGCAAGGCTCAGTGTCCATGGAGGGCCAGGCAAGAGGTTGAAGAGAGCAGGCAGCAGACAATGAGCTCAAAAGGGCCAAGCAGCTGGCGCCCATAGGGCACACCTCAGGTGACAGCAGGCTGCCCTGCTTGAGCTTGCAGTCAATCTCTAGGCGCTGCTTCAGCAGCGAGTCCTTCTCCTGGCGCAGGTTGTCAATCTCTCCACGGATGTGCTGCTGGCTCTGGGCACTGCCCTGCCGCAGCTGCCCACTCTTCTCAGAGAGTTCCTTCTCCAGGTGCTCCAGCCGGCTGGACACTCGCACGATGTCCTCATTGAGGGCCTGGGGGCAGCATCACCAGGGATTAAGCAAGGAACAGGCACCATCCTCAGTGCTGACAGAAAAGGCCAACCCAGGGACTGGATGCTAATGAGGACATGGGTCCTTCAGGAAACCTACAAGCCAGATGTTCTGCTCAGACGAAGGTAGAAAATGATGGGAACTGGCTCGGCGCCTATAGC